TGTTTTGATCCAAAATGAGGAGTACCTCTTGAAGCATGTATCATCATCAGTACAGCGACCACTCCGTTGAAAATATTGACAGCCAGGAAGGTGACGGTGAGAAATATCAAGATTCCTCTGGATCGTTGATACATGGCATGTAACCGAGTGATGACGATGGCTGGCAGCATGCTTCAGTCAAGTCAGAACCACTAAGGTCTCGCAAGCGCTCACCCCACAGGATTGGCATTACCAAAAAAACTCATCCAATTTCGTACGGCGTATATAATAAAGCCTGACGAATTCAATCAGTGATCAGCCTCGGGTGGCACACACTCCAAACAGACTCACATCTGTGGTAGTATGGCATTGCAGTGGTTAGTGAACCAAAAAGTCAGTAAAGAACCACGCCCACTCCTACAGGGCACCACAGTTGATTATAGAGGAATAGTAGCCATTTGTGCAAAGGACTCACTTTATCTGTCAGCGAGATGGTCGAAACATCGCCTGCATGCCGTTGGTCAGAAGAAGCGAAGACAGTGAATGTGGTAAGGAGACATACCCAGTATGGACAGGCTGATTATGAGAGATAGACGATTAGCACAACGCCGACTATTTAGTCTTCCGAACATACACAGCAGATAAGATTCCAAGGTAGCGCAACCTAGGATACTTTCTAGTCAGCACAACATGGCAACCGCGACAAGCAAGCTACATACACTGAGATACAGAACTGTCATTAAGGACCGGCGTTGCCTCTATAATCAAAAGTGCTTTAATGTGTTTTCTTCTGACAGAGAGTCTACTCACCCAAACCAATTCTACCTATAAAACTATTCTTAGCGAGATAGCTGCACCGATCATACCATTGACATACCTCTTGTCCGAATGTAAGTGCTGAAATCACTTGTAAGATATTGGCAGTCCTTTAATACCGTCATGCTCACCCCAATCATACATCACCCCAACAAAGGCGGAAACTGAGAAACCGCAGCCAAGATTAGATTGAGTCAGCTTCGACATCCGCCTGCTCTCCACGAACCTATAAAATAGTTTAGAAAGCGATTTGGATTGATGGTCGGCCACCGAGTGAGATCATCTGAAACCATGGTCATATCGGTGGAGAATGGGTGTGGGTGAGAGGAGAACTTGGTGGATACCTGACGATGGCATTCGTGCTAGTTATACCAACATCCAGTGCTTGGATCACCCAAACAAGATCGAGGGAGGATGGTCGTTCCTGCTTTGATTGGCCGAAGTAGATATTTTTGCATGAAAAAGCTAATCCATCCAGGGACTCATAGTAGATGTTGGTGGTGAAATATTCGCGCTAGCAAAACACTTGAACACCGCAAAAGATTGAACAAAATCACTTGAAGAACTGTTCGTAATCTTGTCCCTTGTTTCCAATGCCATTCCTGATATTTTTGTGCTACACGTGCATTAGTCCATCAATATTTGGGATCAAGTACTACACCATCTATTTGATACATACTGCCAATCATGGACCATGGTGCGAAAAGCCTGTCATCTCCTCTCCTCGCCAGCACAACCATGGAGCATAACAGCTTATCAAGGCCACTCAACAAATGCACATCACATCGGAATGACGCCAGACCCAGAAAAGTCAGCCGTCGAATATAAGGGAAATCGACACGAAATAAACAACCAAGCCTGATTTTGACCAAGTTTATTATCCTCAGAATGGGTTGTTTGGATTATGTAATAAAAGCTTTTGCCGAACAAACCCGAAGTTCGGAAACCACCTTGTCCAATATGATTGTCGGTGCACTGTCCTAGGGACTCCTAGCCCACCTCTCTAGCTCATCTTCTCCCAGGAACGAGCGGGATTATGCTATCTGGGCCAGGCACGTGGAACGTTCTTACATGGGTGACCTGATAGTGCTGCGGCATCTCAGATAATCTATCTTCGTCATCGTGCAATTTAAATCACTTACACTTGCCGTTTAGGCATGCACCTCTACTTCCAAAAAGTCCTGGCAGATCACATCCAGATCATCAAAGACGCTGATAACTACCATTTACTTCACCAACTCAACTTCACCGACCACTTCCCACACACAGCATACTAAGTATTATCAGATTCGCCCCTCAAGAAGGAGAGGGATCATGAGGAGTCTCAGGGTGCCTGTTTAGTTCCGGGTGAGTCAGTGTAGTTCCGCAGTGTCGTTGTAGCTGGCTCATACAAGATATCGGAGCTTCTATTGCATATACACATATATCGTGTCCACTCCAGTTGATCCCTATCCTACAAGAAGCGCAAGGTAAAAATGATGTGCATACACGAACAGATTAACTGTGAACTGTCATGGGGATACATGCTTACGGCATAACGATAAGACTACTACATCCTGTGATTGTGTTTCATCAGAGTCGTACCGCCTTTATCGTACGTTTCACATCCTTTTGATATGATAGCTCGGTGACTTGGGCAGAGAGAGAGGTGCGCATGAGGCGGAGAGATCACCGATACCCTCGATAATCATTGACTCGACGGACGATACGTCTTTTCGATGGTAACATTACATCTAGGCCCGTATTGGTTGGCCAGATGGACATCACTGATGAAACTACTCAACCGATGCACGGTCAACTCACATACCTGTATTTGATCGGGGCCCCTGGATTCATTCCACCTTTCTAGTTGACATCATGCGACAATTCTTTCGGTCAATGCAGGGACAAATCTGCTGTAACGCTCGTTAAGACATAAAGGTGCTGGATGGTGGAATTTCTAGTACGACCGACCCCCTTCATAAGTCTACCAAGTTCATTGCTCGTTTACATCACCCTAGGACAATATGACCCTAGTCTCAAATGATCCCACTTTCTGGCATGTCATCAATACGAATCGTACTAGCAGGTATTTTGTAGGTTTGTGGAACGCCGGGATAATGAAAGTGATGTTTCAATCTTGACCTTGACTATGATTTCATAGTTGTCGCTTCTACTGGAGTGGTTTACGATTCGGGTGAGCAAGGTAGTTTTCACGAACCAACGATTTGAGTTTCTCATGGTATTTCCAGCATTAACATTCGCACAAGAAGTAGGTTGATCCCATCGGAGTATTAGCCATCTCGCTAACAGTTTTATAGGTTGAACTGGTCTGGGTAAGCAGACTCTCACTTCAAAAAAAACGACATAATTAACTGGTGGCAGAGACAGCGCTGGTCGTTGATGACCGTTCTGTATCTCGGTGTAAGAAGTTCACGTTATAAGTGTGATTGGCAAGTCTTGCTGATTTAAAATCCTAGCTGCGCTATATTATGATAGTATATGCTGTGTATGTATGGAAGACCAAACAATTGGTGTTGTGCTAACCAGCCATCTCTCACGATCAGCATCAGTATTCTGAGTATGTCTCCCCATATGTTGTGTCTGTTTCTTCTGATCGGCAGCATGCAGTATATGTTCCGACAACAGATACAGTGAGTATTCTACACCAATGCATGATATTTCCGCCTGATTGACTGTACTCCTATGTAGGGGTGAGTGATGTTGTTGACCCGCTTCCTAGTTGAATTTGATGACTGTCATAGTTGTGAGTGTCTTTGGAGGGTGCAGTCCTCCGAGGCCGACCACTGATTGGATTATTCAGGTTATATTATGTACTTCGCGCTATGCTGGATCGTTGTAATCGTACCTGCAATGCTTGGTGGTGAGCTCCACCTTTGATGATATTGACTTGATTGAAACATCATGCAAGTCATCACGATCGCGCGGCTACATGCCATGTATCAGGGGTCAAGAAAGATGTTGATATTTCTTGTTATCATCTTCCTGATTGTCAACATCTCTGGCGCGGTGATAATCGGCATGATGTTGAGGCATATTTCAGCAGGTAAGCTTTAGTTTATAAATGAAAGACTTGAATGCATCGGGATCATTGACTACCACCAGAGGAGGCCATTCTATCTGGCATATACCAGTGCACTATTAGGCTCGAGGGAGATGGTGCACTTCTGTGTACTATGTATTTGATGCTCATCACTATATGGGAGATCCTCGTAATGTGTCTTGCAGGTTGGGTTAGTGTAAGACACTTCCGTGAACTGCGACGACATTCAGCAGGAGGGACGATCAGAGATTGTTTCACAGTCTTAATGAAATCTCACATTGTTTACTTTGCGAGGTGAGTTTATGATCACAATGCGAATGAAATTATCTTTTCCCGCTGAAGTTTCGCTTACACTAGCTTTGTTGCTGTTTCTGGCCCCTTGTTCGGTTATTTGTCTCCAATGGTCTCAACAGTATGTTGATCTCTCATTGATCTCTACATGCGAGCACGGTTCATTATTTTTATAGGCTTTATCTGCTCTGGAAACTCCTATCTATCTTGGAGTTCTTCAAATATTTGTACTTATACAATTATCCGTGCTGGGACCACGCCTGATTCTTGATGTTCGAGAATATCATGCTAAACTTGTGGAAAACAGCGATGCAACAAGTGGCATGACTTCAATTGTCTTCCAGGAGCGCGTGCATCTGACAACCAGCAGTAGTGTGTAGCAAGGGAAGACATCGGGTACTCTACGGAGGGCAACAGAATATGACTTTGTACGTTTCATTATGGTGCCTGCATATGTCATCTGGTGTTTTGACGTGGCATATCAGTTGCTCGAACTCTGCGGGACAACGGCAATGCGCTGAGTTACGATCTACCTGGTCAAGCTTATGTGCCTGACTCCGTCACGAAGGTCTGCGAACATCCTTCTCAAATCTTCACATGACTACGCTGATCAGGTCTTTGCAATCCTCAAACCAATGTCTCTTTCCCCGCATATACTCTGCATTTGAGCTTCCTGTGTCGGCCAAGCGAAGGAACTGTCCCTGGTGGAGTTTCTCCATATCTCGAATGATTACATGTAGATCTAATATCTGTGCGTGAGTTCTGCAACAGCATCGAATGATAAGGCTCGCAGCTGTCTCGGATAATTTGACTGATTTTACTACAGTACATATGTCACAATCACAAAAGTACACGCCCCTGTCGTATGTCCAGAGATTATATCAAACTCATCATGGGCACGAACCGGTGTATATGTTTGGTAGTCACTAGTAGCCACTGTAATAATTATGAGCGATGAATACAAAGAGGAAGCGCACTTTCAATTGAGCATGATTGTCAACGGAATATAACGTAGGTTTCCAAAACTACCAATTGCAAATTTTGAGATATCAGTGTAAGGCTGGTTCGACCAGCTTCTCACCCCGATTGACAGTATCGTCTATGTCTGATACAGTTAAATAGAGAAGGGACCACATAGGGAGATCAAAACGTGGGCGTGGACAGAAGCTTTCACAGATAAAAGAGTCACCTTGCAAAAACGCTGTACTTCAATCAGATGATAGTGTAGAGAAATGTATATTGATAATCGAGAAGGACAAGCTACAGATACAGGCCTTCGGGAGTGCCTTCGTTCTTCCTGTACAAAACCTACAACGACTCAGCAACATCACCCGTAGTTCAAACACCCAACTTACCTTTTCCCTCGCAGCAGTGAAGTCTGCTTTCGTCACCCGCATCCGACGTTCTCGCAAAGCTAACATACCGGCCTCTGTGCAAACAGCCTTGATATCAGCACCAGAAAGATCATCCTTGGCCATGATGAACTCCTCCAGATCAACATCATCGTTCAGGCTCATCCGTGACGTATGTAATCTGTAATGGATTATTCAGTCGATGTAAAATCGGTAAGGGAAGAGGAGAGGCCTACCGGAAGATATGCCGCTTGGTCTTTACATCAGGCAGTGGGAATTCAATCTTTCGGTCTATACGACCTGGTCGGATAAGTGCGGGATCTAGCGTCTCAATCTTATTCGTGGCCATGATAACCTTGACGTCGCCACGAGTATCAAAGCCATCAAGCTGGTTGAGTAGTTCCAACATTGTTCTTTGAATTTCACGTTCGCCACCTGATGTTGAATCATACCTCCAAAGATAGTAGCGTCAATATTCGTAAGTGAAAAGTAAAACGCCTCGCTTACCGTTTGGTACCTATGGCGTCGATTTCGTCGATAAAGACGATACTTGGGGCATGTTCTTCGGCTACACGGAAGAGTTCACGAACAAGCTTGGGACCGTCACCAAGATACTTCTGAATAAGCTCGGAACCGACCACGCGCAAGAATGTTGCGGACGTTTGATTTGCGACTGCCTTGGCAAGGAGGGTCTTTCCTGTTCCGGGGACCCCGTAAAGGATGACACCCTTCGGCGGCTTGATTCCCATCTCCTCATATAGCTCCGGATGTGTTAGCGGGAGTTCGACAGATTCCTGGGTTAAGGAGAGGAAAGGTTACAAGATAGCTCCGATATAAAGGAGGAATCCTACCTTGATTTCTTGGATTTGGTTCTCGAGACCACCAATATCAGCGTAGCTTTCTGTGGGAGCCTTGTCTAATTTCATGACACTGACTAGAGGATCGGTATCATCCTCCAGCACGCCGACTACCGCCTGATTCTTGTGGTTTAGTAGGACTGAGCACCCAGGCTCAATCCTATCCTTGTCGACGAAGCTCATTATCGAAACGTATGACTCCGGGCCACTTGCAGTACTGATGATAGCATGGTCATCATCGACGATCTCCTCTAGCGTGCCCACCATCATCGGCGTCCCTCTAATATCGTCCACTTTAGACCTTTCATCCTGATTCTTCTCCTCACGAGATGATTCGGGCTTCATGCGCTCTTGGTTGTGAATGAATTCCTCTTCCAGGAGTAGGTAGTCTTTAATGCGGTCCATCTTGAGTAGACGAAGCCTACACCGTGTAGCAGGAAAGACAGGGGGTAGCTTTGAGGCAGTGGCTGGTCCTCGTCTTTTCTTCTTGCCAACACGAGTCGGCAGAGGCGGTTCCCATTTCTTCTTTGGCGGCTCGGCTTTTTTGTCCTTATTATCCTTATTATCCTGTCCCTGAGGTTGACTAGGCGGCATGCCAGATGGAGCGTTTCCCTGTAAGACAGTCAGATAAAAATGAAGGACTGTAGCTGGCTACAAACCATGTTTGCTGAAGTTCAATGGTGCTGCAAGGTGTACGTTAGAAGGACTACTCGACGCGTCAGTCCATCTGAAACGGGCGCGGAAAAATAATTCCATATATGGATGTTGTCCCAACGCGTGGCAAGTGACGCTGCATCACTGCAGCTCACTGTGAATGCCCAGTGCCCATACTTTTAGTTGCAACATAAACTAACCATGAGCCATCCTCCCTTGAATTCGCGATTCATAGAAGCAGGTGAGTTTTATGTTTGTACGACGTTTGTAGTCATTTGAACAACAAGTCATACAGACGACGATGACGATGACGACCTAGACGAGCAAGACATCCCCGGGTTCTCAGCACCATCGCCAGCCGTAGATAAGGGAAAATCAAGGGAAACAGAGCAGCTAGCAAAACCCTCTGCAGCTCCTACTTCAAATCAGAACGTGTCTGGCAACATTGGTTCCAATAGCTTGTCTAGCAGTTCCAACAAACAAACTGTCGGCGGCATTCGAGTCGAGACTCGGTAAGTCTCGCATATCATATTTGTATCGAATCCTGTGCAAACATTTTTAGGTATTCTGGAGCGGATACTCTCGATGAGCCTGTCACCACCACAATCGTCAGTGTGACCACCCTTACTCCGTCGTACGAGCTGACCCCAGGCCCAGGCACGCGACCTGCTTTCGGTATACTCAAAGTTGGTACATGTGCTCTACCCTCGTAAGTCCGGTGGACGCGAAGTCCTCAGGTTTGTGGCGCCTGACAATCCAGTCGAGCTCGTTTGTTGATATCGTCTTTGCAGAGACTGGGATCTTTGGGGCCCGTTATTACTTTGTCTATGCCTAGGCATCATGTTGAGCGTGAATGTACGTCTTTTATTTATTGTACGTACAAGCGGCTATATACTGTCCACACCCAGGCACCATCGAACCAATCATTAGGGGTATTCACTTCAGTGATCGTGATCGTGTCCGTTGGCTCCCTTGTCGTGACCGTCCAGGCTAAGGTGGGACATTCATCACCCCTTATGCCATAATGCTAATTTTGCCTTCCAAATGGTCCTAGCTTCTTGGTGGCAGAGTGTAACCAAACTTCCTTATCTCATTTCCGTCTATGGTCCTTACGCTCCAATAACTAGGTCCTTCTTTCAAGGGCTCTGTGCACTTGGCTACTGTATAGCGCCATTGGATATTGCTGCACTTATCTCATGCTTCGTGCGTGTCATCTGGGTGCGTGCGCCCGTGGCCGTGGCTGCCTGGGCTTGGTGCATATGGGGTATGCTCGACCCACCTTAATTCATATAATCACTGACTCTGAATTCTGTCTCCAGCATCCGTGAACTTCTTGGACGGTACAAAAATTGAACCACAGCGCATCTTGCTCGCTGTATACCCACTCCTGTGAGTTATGTCTGAAGTCTATCGAGCTACGAGAATAATGGTATTTTCCTGTTAGACTTTTTTACTTTGTCCTGGCGTGGATGATACTTATCCAATGATAACTTTTGTTTCAAAGAGCTACTTTTGTGGTAGCATGCTTGCACATTTCTTAGCTCAGTGACATTTTACTTGCTACGTAGCATGCTCCCCAATGTAACAGAAGCAAATACACACTAACTTTGCAAGGGACGATGACGTGGTGTATCGTCTACTCGACACTCTTCCCAAATTGACTCATCCGACGCACATACCAGAAAGGAGAAAATATTACTCTCGACTCGCAAGACATGTAAGGCTACCTGTTCCGTCTCACAAACGATAAGACCGAGATCACAATTGGACCCTACAGTGGGCCACTGCAGGCCACTGCATGTTTGACGAATTATTATCTGATCGAAATCATGATTAAATAAGATTATGGCGTAATGAGCACAAATTTGTCATAATTTTGGGCCTCCTAAAGTATGTCTTTTAAAACCATGACAATGGCGAATGTTGGGTTCTTGTCGCTTCCTGCAGAGCTGATATGTTACATTTTACTTTTCCTTACTCCAAGGGACCTTTGTCGTCGTGCAATTGCAGTCTGTTATTTTCCCATGATTGCAAGGTTCTAGGCTCACTTCTGTTGATACCAGACCTGCAAAACCATCAGGGATGCGGCTCAGAATTCTGTACAAATTCAACACAAGCTCGAGCTTTTTTCTCAGGGCTTTACCGAGACTATTACCCCTGGCCAGGACTCAATCGACTTTTTCAGAAAGAACAATCGTTTGAAGAAATCGGCACTCATGTCGCGGTCTGATTTCCATGTGAACACTGTTTTCCAAGAAGCAGTGCTTGCTGTGCATGCTGCTACGAAAGAGACACAATCCTTGAAGTGCGGGCTCTGGTGGATGTCCAGAAAGAGCGATCTCTTAATTCAGGAATGCAACACAAATACCACTCAGACATGGTCCAACCACATCTTGTCCCCCATGCCGCAGCACGAGTTGGCGACAGTCGTTGTCGACCCTCTGCAGGATCTTTTGGTCACAATCTCCTCAGTTGACTCCATCGATGTGCTCGATGTCGTGCAAGCTCACCACGTTTTTTGGCTTGAGATTCGTATGCTTTCAGCGCAGGCTCCGCATCCGGATTCAGCGTGCACTTCCTTGGACTGCAGCCATTCTTTTAATGAACGTGGCATTCATGATGTCATGTTTATGAAAGAACCTGCAATATGCGGGGATCGTGTAGTTGTCCCCTATTGTATATACGCAGACGATGGAGGGGCGGAGCTGATGTTCATACAAGTGGTAGATTGGAGGAGAGGACGGGCAGAGTGTGTAAGTTCTATTATTGAAGTTTTTTACCACTCTTAGCAGCAGCAGTATCCTGTAGGCCACCAAGCTCGAAATTGGCCCCACCAGAACAATTTCCATCTCATAGACCGACAAACATTTGTTGTCATCGACTTGCAAGTTTCTATAAACTTGTATACGTTACAAGAATTTGGCGGGCCGCCTCAGTGCCGAATTGTTTACTGTTTTCCAACATACGGCTCTCTGCGTCATCCATCGTGTGTCGTTCACACCACTCCGTTGGTCCAAGGCACAGCAGTTCGCCCAGACCTTATGCCCAGCTACGTATCCTTTCTTGAGTCCCAAATTATGGTCTTGGAGATGCTCCTTCCTGTATTGCCCGTTGTTTTGGTCATCGATATGGCCATTTTCTCAAAGAACGCCCTGCATCCAGAGGGCCTTATCACGATACCCTGGTTGGACTGGGGACCACAGCATACGTGCTGCTTTCCGCATGACCCAAGCCACCGAATCAGTGTTTTCGGTAGCAGAATGGCCTATGCTCTTCCTCGATATCGGACCCCCACTCCTGGACATAGACTGGAAGCGCTATCTACCGACGGTCGCTTCTACGTGCACATATGGGACTTCAATCAAAGAGTCGTTGCCCGTTCCAGAAGCATATCCGACTCTAACTCACCAGACCATCTGATCCGCAAGCCTCCTTTTCTAGCTCATACGTTTTATAAGAGTGACTTTAGCTCGAACCATTTTTACACTACTACCGTCTGTCATACATCTTTTCCGACGCGTGACTTTGAGGGGTTATTCTTGGAACATGATAGGTTTACTTTAACATGGGTAAGACGGTCTTGGTTGCAACATACAACGTTTGACGCAATTCCACTTAGGTTCGACCTGACGCAGTTGATATTCAGGTCGTTTCTCCTTACGCTGTACCAGAAACAAAGGCTTTAAGCTGTTGGCTCAGAGACTATATCAAACTCATCACGAATTTTTGGGCATCGATGACCGTTGGTATTATCTCTCACTCTTGATAATCATCACGAGTCATGATGCCTGTACCCGACTTCTAGTACATGGGTGAGGTGTTCGTAATCGTGAATACAGTGATAGTAGTTGGTACCATACTCAAGTCATTCCTGGCAGGCCTGTACATACGGCTACGCTGGCCATTGGTTGAGAGCTTCATGCAAGAAAAAATTATTCTGGCTTCTAGATGATTTGTCATCAACTTGAGTCAGGCCTGCAGGCAGTCACTCGACTTTTCGATTGATTTCCCAAGCTTCGGGAAGATGGCTAGTTCGCCTTTTCTTTCTGCTGTCAATTTTCCTGTGCCCAGGCAGTTTACTTCTAAAACCACGGTGACGGCTGTTGGATTCATGCCGCTTCCCACATAGCTTATGTCGCATCCTAATCCTCCTCATGCCAGAGGACTTTTGCCATTGACGGTTGCTTCTACGTGCTCATGTGAGACTTCGACAAGCGAGACATTGTTCGATCTGAAAATATTCACGACCTAAACTCACCAGGCCTTCTCGTCTGCACGCCCGGTCAGCTGTCCGTGTCGTGTCGTGGCTTCGGATAGAGATATATCATACTCATGCTGCAATCGTCTTCCATGCGCTCTTTTCGATGTGCTGCGATTGGTTTCAAACGTGCCTTTGGAACAGGACAGGGTCACTATAACATGGCAGGTGTTCTTGGCTGCGATATGATGTGGTCACACTGCAGTCGTGACCTGACGCTGTTAATATTCAGGTCTATCCATACATGGACTAGAACTGATGTTTCGGCTTCGGCGCCGATTATTACGAGGAACACAGCCAATTATACCCCTGGCCGCCAGCCTCGTGTTGTCTCGTGTCATCAAGCTATGACAATCAGTTTGAAATTACTGCAGACAGTTTGTGTTTTTGGCTGATGTGAGTTGCCCATGTTCAAGTTGTTCGGAAATAGATCCAGCACGGATGCGTCACAGTTACAGCCTTTCGCAAAATACTAGGCCGAGTCCAAAATTAAAACAAGACAACGTCGCTATGTCCGATCAGATACCATCAAGTTCCCCTAGAAGTATTTTTTTGGGACTGGCCTTTCTGCAAAAGTTCAAACGGCTGTCATTACATACAGGGATCGTAATAGACCATAAGCTCTCGGCTAGTGGTCTTGGCCTCCAGCGCTCATTCTTCCTCCCGTGACTAACGCGTGAAACTTGAGGCACGGTGTGTCTGCCGTGAGGTCACCTTTCCAGCCAGCAATCTCAGTAACCTTCTTTGGTCTTCGGTACGTCCGCACTCGTGCCAGCGGTAGGTAGTGGCACGTATTACGTGCTTAGTCCATGGTTTACACTTGCAGATCAAATCAGATACTATATATATTCAAAGTTTAGAATACAAAAATACTCGAATCAAGACCGCCAACATGCAGTGTTCATGCGCGAGTGGCCATCTTCCTAGAAAGGGTCCTCAACCGCTCAGCGTTGACTTTCCTCCGCACCGTATCAGTGTCCACACTCGGGTTACCCTTCATCACGCTCGCACTGGTTCTCGGCGCAACCGTGTACGTGCCAATCTCTTTTTGCGGGATCATAACAGCGTTCTTCCGGATGCGGTTCTTTTCTCCCTCCTTTGCACGTGCTAAAATAGCGTTGAGACGTTCGTTTGTGCGCTCTGTACCATCCTCCTCTGCCATGGGAACGACACGATCACGGTATGAGGCGCTGCGCTTGATAATGGGGCGTGACCAGGTGGATACGAGTTCGTTAGCGATGCGCTGTACATCAGACGTGACGCGTTTGCATTTGGTGTAAAACAACACAACCCGTCCCAGACCGGATTCTTTGAGCACGGCACTGTCGATAAATTCCATGCGTTTCAAAATGGGGAAAAAGTCACGCTGGATATTAAGGGCCGGTAGAGAGCGGTCTGGGAGCGGCTCCAGCCAGCGACGGACACCTTCCAAAAGATTGTTGTCCATTATAGACTGTGAGAGTGATTGTCTGGGGGATATTATTAGCGCTCGGGTGAAACAAAAAAGGATAGCTGCGCACTTGCGAAGGACCTCCATTACTTGAGGAAGGAGTTTCAATTTGTTGGTTGCGGGGAGCTTATCGCGGTTAGCTTGTTCGTCATCAGCTGCGGCACCAAGCATGGCCTCCCTGAGACGTGATACTTCCTCGTCTGCGAACCGATCCAAAATCTCTTCGTCATCTTTTTTTGGTTTCTTCTGTCGATTTGCCTTTTTGGGCTTAAGTATGGCATCGAACTGCATGTCTAGCCGGAGTTTGTTTGCTAGAGAACGGTTGGTCAGGGCCGGCAATTCAATTCTAAGACGAACCTTTCTCAGGAGGAAGTTCGTTAAGGTCTTCCTCGGTGAGCGGTTGTTTTCTCTTGCGTTTCTTCTGCACCCTGCGAGGTTCATCGTCCTCGCGACGTTTGACACGCCGTTTGGATTTGACATTACGCTCCTGCACGTAAGCATCGCTGGATTCTCCAGATGAGCCGAATGCATCTGGTTCAACGGGACGGCGTTGCTGCTGTCTCTGACGCTGTTGCGGGGCATCTGTGAGAGAATGAAAGGCGGTGAGTTGGAGATAAAGTGAGAATGGATAAAAAGAACGTGCCATCTTCCTCTGAAGATAGTTCAGAGCCGTCGCCAAAGATGTCGCGCTCAAGATTTTCGCCTTCCTGATTTTAGTTAGCAGCGCTGACATACGATTTGTTTGAAATAAAAGCCTACTGCTGTTGTTGCTGCTGCTGCTGCTGCTGGTGGCATTAGAGACAATGATGAGCGTAACCAGTGAGTGGAGTAAACAAGAGTAAAGTGGAGCTACCGGATTACATAATAAATATTATGACAAGGAGGAACTTCATCACGCCTAATTTATTGGTACCCAGGATTACATAATATGACAGGGAGGGACCACGCCTAATTTGTTCGTACCCCTTCCAACTTAAAGTGACCATGAATCAGAGTCACTAGGAAATTTAGCAACTGTCGATCCCCCCTACCACTGAACCAAAAAAAATATCAATGACCTATGCTCCTTCCCTTCCTTGCCATGGATCCATATGTTGAGCGCACTCCATCGCTCACTAACTCTGATTCTTCAAGATCTAGCACTTCAAGTGATCCCGTTTCCATGGACCCACCAATACTCAACGTCAGAGACAGACCTCTTCCTTCAATACCCCGTGAATTGTCTCAGAAATCATACCATATACCTTTCCCTACTCCCAGGGAAAGACCTACATACCCAAACGACTCACTGCGCTCGGCTAGAAGGCCGAGCCTCGTTCACGACCGTCCACCGCAGCGTGCTTCATCCTTGGCTAAAACATTTGCCTGGAAGAGAATGCATCGTGCGGCCGTCCATTCCCTCAAGCAACCACATATTCTTGCACGCTTATTACAATTCATGCAATGGGCTGATTTTTACGTCCTATTATCAACGTGTGCCGATATGAGGCATCTCTGGAATACTCGCGATTTTAGAGATGTCGTACTATCCCATTTCGTCCCAGGCTACGGCTACGCCCTCAGGCATCGTGACCTCTCCAAGTGCCAAGACTTGGACATTTCCCTTCAAGACCTTGACCTCTTGCGTAGGTTTTCTTTTGTTCGGTTTATATCCTGACGTTAACGTTACTGCGCACTTGTTAATTTTAGTTATCTCGCAACGCGTTCCCCCCCATCAATACCCTGTTCACGCACTCAGGAGTCTACCGCCCAGCCGAGATTATGACGCAACTATCGCGAAATTAACCCATAAACTTGCCCTTCTCTGTCTCACGCACTCACGTTTCGTACTACTTCTTCAATGCCTCGTCCACAGTTCTTCTCTTCCCCTACCCATTGATGATGACTCCTATTTTCAATCCCCACGACTTTCCTCAGTTCCCCCCACACTGCCTCATGGCCTCCGCGAACTCACATTTCCTGCCCCTCTGTCATTCGTATCTGATGCATCTGCAAAGGCCCTGCCGAGCGCTTATTCATCAGGTACTGAGTCGGATCGGAGGCGGTCCATCCAGTCATCGCATAATCCCATGCCAAGGAGTCGAGACCCTCCAAAACCCAGGACTGCGGCTGACTTCAACCCGTCAATCAATCAACCGAAGCAGAGGAAACTTTCCATATTCGGTGGAAAAAACCCTCCGCCCCCTCCACTCTCGGAGCCCCGATCTCTCAAATACTATGATGCCAGATGGCGGCGCACCATCGCTGGCACGCCACTTCAAACGCCTGCGCCACTAGGCACTTACGCGAATAATCGGAATTTTATGTCAGAGGATGACATCAGCAAGTCTGTAATGCGTACCCACCGACGCACAGGATCTAGTGGGATGTCCAGTATCTCATCTTCGGCTAGTGGTAGTCCATCCCCACCAATATCTCGCAGAGCGGCACGAGACTCTTCTGGCCTCTCCACTGGCTCCCCACATGAGCTTTACACGGCAATTTCACGAACTCGGGCGCCGGTGCTGCGCGTATTCGTACCTTGTACAGGCCTCGTCCCTGAAACAATCTCATTATGCGAACAACAGCTGATCGACAACGGCCTCTGGGAACACCTCTCAACCGGGGATATCGTCTGCAACTTCGGCTTCCTCCCTGTGGCTCCCGAATCGGACGAGACATCATTATCGCAAGAATCCGATAGCGCGCTACGCAAATCATGGCTGCTTTACAACGGTTACGCACTTGTTCCGTTCACCCCTCCTATGCCCCCGCCCCTTGATGACCCCCTCAGCCTTCCATCACCACTATACTATTCACACATCGCGCCTTCCCATGTTCACCCTCTATTTGCATTCGCACCTCCAGGTGGCGGTGGCGTCCCTGAGCTCAACCTAGTACAAACAACAGAACGCGTCCGTTCGCCGCAGTCCCGCGGAGGATGGGCCGCTGCGAAGAAGTATATGTGGGTCGCGCGTGCACGCGTCGGCATGGGTTTCATTGACGTCGACGATGGAATTGGCGAAGGGTGGCGGGGTGAATGGGTCCTCGAGACCGAAGGCACGCGTGAGGGGCGACACACGCTCGTAGACTGTCTATCAGGGGAAGCAGGTGAGGTTTTTGTGTGGGAGTTTGTGAGGGAAAAGAGCGGCAGCGGGCGAATATGGCTAAAGTGAGTGTTCTTGTATATTTTTTGATTGGTTGGATGGATAAGAGTGCTGATTCTATTGTTCTAGACTTGTACGACCGTTACAACCTCCGGACTCATCAGTGGACATTCGTATGTTACAATCTTGAGGACTTTTATTGCTGTGTAGAGAACAGTTTTACTTTTACTGCATTTGCCATTTGCACCATTACTACGTCGGACGCTGCATTAGGATTGGCTCTGTTTCTACATACTGACTTTTTCACGGCGCTCATCGGTTGGATATTTATCGACTATGTGTAGGGTATATGTAACTGTCATGATCAGCTGTCACATTCACTGCTGCTTATCTACACGCTCTCAATTTCGATGCTGGCATGGTGGAACGTTCTTCAATCAAGGGCCCGGTCCGTTCATTACCGCCCGTCTACAATTGGGACTTCATCATGCAATTACGGCTTTCTTCTCGACAGACACGATAAGTACGTATCACGGGTGATGATCAATAACAATAGAAGTAATGAAGTTTCACGTGTCAAACGAGTGTCACGATGTCCAGGTTCACGAAATGATCCCGCTTGACGGCTCCTTCAGGCGGGGCCACTACGCCAGCTTGTTGCAGCACACTAAACGCGGTTTAGCACGAGGAACAAACTGGGACACAGGAAAATGGCACTTACCTCAACGTGTCACTGATGACGTTCCACGGTATCGTTGAGCAGTCTTCAGGGTACTCCACAGCATCGAGCCACTCCTTCACAAATAAACGCACTGTCAACACCCCTTCCATCAGGCCAAAGATAAGATATCACCTTGACGTCTGTTTCAGGATAGCTAAAGGTGTCCATCACAAACTTGACGCTCGGTCCTGCTCGGGCCTCTGCAGACGCAAATGCACGGACGTGGCGCGAGAGATTATTGAGGAACGTGCGTACGGCAGCTGGTTCTGCTCGTGTCGGGTGCGCCGCGATGAGCCAGGAGGGCCATGGCGTTGGGACTTGACCGATCTGGATCCGAATTAAAATGGGATTGGTCAGTATAGTCATGTAATACCACTAGTCTCATATAGCTTACGAAGCGACACTCCCCCGCGTCGGAAAATGGTTTCGTGGTGAACCATTCCCACATGAAAGCGCTCGTCGTCCCGTCATTCACGGAATTAATGAGGCCGTGGATGTCGTTATTGACTGTGCATCAGCTTTTGTGTTAGACATGCCGAAGGAGGGAGACAATCAGACACGCACCTTGGAACTTGAGCTCACTCGTGGGCCAGCGCTGCTGTAACGCCATGACGTACGCCATTGTCTGACTCCCGCTACGTCATCCCGAAACATGATCGTGATGGAGGCATGTGATTTTGGGTGCGAGGCTCACCTGCCATTTCTTGAAATACCGATCGTGCTGCCTTGGAGGTCGGAGATTTTATTGTATGCTGAGGGTTTGTGCCCCGTTATGACCGCCCTGTGATAATGAAACGATTATACATCCATTTACAAATCAATCGGTGTATGTGAGAAATGGACCCGGGCGCACCAGCGGAGAGGCGACGTGACGTAACTCCCTACAAGCTTATACGCCTCCGATCCCTTTGCGATCCCTGCGATCAAGGGATCTGTGAGAGCTCTGTTTCGGTATTGGATGACAAGATCAGAAATATTACTTTAAAGATCGAGCGAGGCGTACATTGCGATATCAATTTCATCCTTCGTGAGTCGGGAGATCAGCTGGCCCGTGCCACCTGTGTTGGATGTTTGCTCCAATACCGTAGGGAATGAGTGAATTGAGGGGCGTACTGGGGCACTCGACAAGAGTAAACGTCGAGCCCTTGTCTTCGGCTTCGAATTGCAAAAGGGGAGAACAGAAGTGTTCTCGGACTAGTAAATCAGGTGTCAGATGTCATTTTCTTCAAGCGATTTGAGCAGACGAGTACCATATCCAATCCTTAGAACCATGATAAGCCTGAGAGCACAAGAGACGCTGAGAAAGTCAGTTCCGACGTCTCGTAAAGACTTCGGAACGGTCGGACTTCCAATTTTGAATATTGGCCCCTGTCACATGCGCAGGCATTATGCCGTAACTTATCGAAATTCATCTTCCACAAAGTGCAGACAGAAACAGATGCACAGGAATCAGTCACTGCCCACTTCGACATCATCACATATCTGCATGTGACCTGACAGGGAGATTTAATCAGTAGTGTTGTGCTTTTTGCTGTGGATGGACGAGCCGGTGCAAAATCAGGAAGTGAAATGGTGGTACATATACTAAGTGAGGACAAGTGTAGGACTTACTGCACGAATTGGATCAGGGACGCACGTATGTAGTGGGGGAGGAGAGATACATTCAGAGTAAGCGACTGATATCACGCCGAGAGCTGTGAGAGGGAAGGTTAGTCTCGGAAAGGATGTGCATATACATGTCTTTACTGTGCACATACATGGGCAAATATTGATCATCATCGACGATCTCAATGGAGCAAGACACATTAGTTCAACGCACGATATAGATGTCCCGTGAATAGCAGAAAGGGCACGAATAGCGTAATGACATAAAATACTTTTATTCTTGTCCAGTGCGATCGAAGGAGGAACGTTCACTCTGAACAGTATGTTATTATCAATGCCAGAAACTATCATGGGCAAGTACATTACCTCTTCGTGAAGTGAACAAAGTTAATCATAGGTCTGCATAGGCTAGTTTAACATTTGACGGGAATGGCCCGCCCAGAATGTAGCTATCGATGGTTAGCTGCATTACAACGAGGAAGAATCGGATCAACAATACGCACTGCATATGTACTGGTGGCACATGGATCATGTATTATTATCAATGGCCCTCCTATGGCGCGACGCACCGCCTAAGTCCGCAGACTGCTTGCCGCCGAGCCGAATGCTTTATCTGCATCATGTTGGGGGGATGAGTTTCACGCATTAGGGATCCCCGCACCGTCTTATCTTCAGCTGGGAGCCAGTCAAGATCGGAGAAAGAGGGGTATCGAAGTTGAGGCGCTCAAGCCTCCTTGATTCACAACAGGGGTGACGAGCCTAGAGTTAGACGTGTCATTCTGAACTGTGCGCTGCCAGACGTCACGGTTTGCTCGCAGGAGTGTACTTTGGTAGCAAGAGTCGGGCTGATTTTTTGACGTTGGACACTTTGCGAGCTGCACAGAGGTACTAATATCGAGACTTGTCCATGGTGTTATCGATACCGATTAATAGGCCAATACAAATTTGCTGTTTGGATGACAACTCGGAAGTGCGGGCGTAAATATCGGGAGGAGTGATTGAGCTTACGCATGCGAATATCAATCAGTCCAAGGGTTCGCGTGAACTGGAGGCTTTTCGCATGAACAAGTCCTCGGTGAAATACTCGACATAGTAGTGGTAAGTAGACATATCACCCGTGAGAAATGCTTTGTCCTCCGAATCGGCAAACAGCGACACTTGGTTGAACCGTTATTACTTGTTAAATTCAGGGTGCTTCCGAGTCACCCATGAGCTAGTGAAGAAACTCAAGCTAAACGAACTATGTTTTGAGGCCCATTCCTTAACAATAGGCGTCCCAGTTATCTCTTTTGCGCTCTTGTTATGATCATCAGCTCACAATCGATTCTGACTGAAGTCTCATTACAAGCCATGTTCAGTAGGCCATTCCGACGGTCTGAACGTTGATCATTTGTCAGTACGTTGAATCTCTGCTCGGACCTCTTTGGCTGGCACCTCGAGGACAACCAACAGGCGCCGGTGCTGAGAGGGGGGGGCAAAGCTCAGAATATGCTGTCCGCGCTCTCGTCCTAAAATTACTCCATATACATGGTAAGGCTTGCATTTTTTGACGTAGATAACATTTATTTTGCTCCGGATATTCTGCAGGGAACACCGCACTGTAAGTGCGGTGCATGCAGCAAAAAGATGCTGTTTTAGCGACAGTGGTAGACTACAGCTGTAGTGCTAGCGGAACAATGACGCTCTTGTGTCTACAAGAGAGCAGCCGATCAATGATGCCATGACCTCCACAAGTGGATACACCCGCCCAAAAAAAAACACCAGAAGACCTGTGGGTCTGTAGATTCCTGTAAGCTTAGTTATATAGGAGGTAGTGTGCTTGAGCACCAACAACAACTTTTGATCATGCATCGCTTTTTTGAATTTGACGATATCATCCATGCCGTGTTACAACACGTCAAATCCTCCCCGACGGACTTGGTGAATGTGGCGATGACATGTTCCAGGCTGGCAGGTCCCGCCCTCAACATCCTCTGGTCTGAACAACATAGTCTGGCACCCCTCATTATGTGTCTACCGGAAGACGCCTGGGAGGTCACGGAGGATCATACTATCGTAAGTCAAGTGTGTCATTTGAGTCTTGACAGGACAATGCTCACCGTCCTCTTATCTGCAGAATCTTTCTAGAGAACCAACTCCCATTGAGTGGGAGCGCCTTAGAATAAATGCATCGAGAGTGCGTCGACTTCTTACTGATGACTGCGAGCCCCTGGAGCTACAACCCAGTGGCCGTGTCTTACAGAGACTTTTCGAGCGGTTCCCTCCTGTCAGACTCTTCCCGAACCTTTTCGAATTGGATTTCGAGGCCGCATTTGGGTTTCTGGAGTGTAGTTCAAAAGTGTTGCTACTTCGGCAGTTCCTTTCGCCTAGATTGGAAGCGCTCGCGTTTGACGTAGCTGGCTTGCCGACGCATGAAGTAGAGCAATTGCTTGCCGCTCTTCCCGCAGAAGCGTACGGTTTGCGCCAAATGATGATATTGGCGGACGATGGTGCCAAAACTTTTACAGTCCCTCCGAGCCTCGGAAAGCTGCCAAAGTTAACGCAGCTGGCCATTTACGCAATCGATACATGCCTGACGAAGCAGACAATCAACAATATCCAGCAAGCACAGCGTCTTCAGACCCTCAACATTTCTTTGCGCGGAACCTCCTGTGATGCGGGTGATATACCCTTTGAATTACCTAGTCTCGAAATCCTACGTCTCTTTGGCGATTCCTTGCCACAGTGCACGCACTTCCTTCGTCAAGTCACCACCCGACAACTACAATTAATCGATATCTGTTACTACAAGCCTGCTCGCCCGACCGAAATCTCCGCCTTGATAGAATCATTGTCCACGTTATGCCAAAATTTCAGATCCTTGAAACAACTCTACCTGGTCGATTCATCAATTGTGAATGTTGATGAACCCGCCGTCCCACTCCCCTCTCAAATCTTCCGACCCTTGTTCAAGTTCAACGAACTGGTATCTGTTGTATTCCTGGGCATTGGAGACTACAACCTTGACGATAGGTTCATCAATGATGTCGCAGTTGCCTGGCCGCTTATTCAGGATTTGAAGTTCACCGCCTCAAGGAGACGTGCCGGTTGTAACGTCACCTTTACCGCCGTGATGTCACTGGCGTCAAGGTGTAGATGGCTGCAATTTTTGCATCTGACGTGCGATGCTACACAGGCGACGATAATTCCTCGAGCACCGGACGGGACCAACGAGTTTTGGCCCACGCAAACCGCCCTTTGCAATCTGCACCTTGGGTACTCCGAGATGTCGGAAGTCTCGGGCGTACCATATTTCCTAGCTGAAGTATTTCCGACTCTATCGCATTTCTACTGGTATCGCAACACTGGGGACTTCGGTATCGAAATTCTTATGGAAGCAGCACTGGAAGTAGCACGGCAAGAACTAAGGGCAGGTTCGGGGCTTGAATGCACTATAGAAGGCGTCTCCCAACGCTCATTCTCTGAATGTAGGATTTTTTAAATTTGCTGCTGAGCCTGGAAAAGCGCAGTGATACATGGTGTGGAGCGGCCGCGTAGTACTACTAAGTATGTCGAAGGCGGGTGGCCGAATCCATGCCAGAGCGTGTTGAAATCGGATGAAACATGGAAGAAGTGCACTAGTGACTTTAAAGTGTCCACGGGCCGGTTCTTGCCCAACATAACATCTAGGGTTCTGATCTGTTGGTGCTGTTGCCGCATTGCATGCGAAGAGACTTGGCCTTAAGCCTCGTTGATTTCTTGACTATTTGGACTTCCCGTCAGGCTTGTGGTCACAGTGGCAGCGAGAGAAAATATTTTCCCCAGCTCTCCTCGCTCCTCTTTGTCGTTCCTTACTAGACAGACGCGAAATATGCTCAGCGAGTTCACCGTCTAGACACAATCAAATCCTGATAGTCTGTCAGCTTGGACGACGCACTGCCAATCGGAAGCTCGGAAGCATGTAGTGCCTTCCTCACCTTACATCAAGTGGAAACATGTCTCCTCACCCGAGGGTGTGCCTGTCTCTATCAGGATTGCGTGATAAAAGGCAATTCTCATCATCGAAGTTAGTTGAAGAGAAGTTTTAAGACACACATGACACAAGTATCCGCAACCTTTCTTCTATACATGCGCCAACCAAATCCCGGTGGTTAGCGAGATGAAGAAGGGCATATGTATTACAAAACAGATGCTCGGGCAACGGAAAACTGTAGGAGTAAAAGTGGAGGATGTCACCGTGACGACTCACGAGTGGTTGCTAGTACATTCGGTGATGCGGGATCCGAGATATAAACACTACAGGCTTGCCGTCAACGTAAGCCCTAAATTTCAACCACAATGTTGTTGTTACTAACCGAATCAACAGTCTTTTACTGGAATATTGTGAATGAACGCATCAGTTACTTGAAGGATGCGTGTAGTGGTACTGACGAACATATCAGCATGGGTACGAGGGATTCAAGAACCAACTATCACCTTTACAGGTGACAAACGAGCTGCAGGAGTATGTTTGGTAAATCATCTTGTGCATCGTGCTCACTATCTCTTCAGACCAATGTGGATGTGGTCGACAACATGCCTCCAGCCAAGCGCATGAAAACAGTGATAGTGCACGAGGAGGAATTGCCATCAGACTCGGAGTCAGAAGCTACAACAGCACTTCCTACTACTACTACAAGACGCAGGAAGTATCAGCTTGGACCTTCCCGCCAGGTGCTTAGACAATAATGCCTGGCATGGTGTATTCCTCCCGACTATTGCACATGCTGCCGGCGGAGAGGACGTTGATCCATGGTTCATTGACGAGCACAGTCTGCTCACAATACTTGTAAAGGCCTGGAGTGTTGTATATGAAGGGAAACTTTCGTTGAAACGCTGCATTGATGCAGTCTGTCCTGCGGTATGTCTTACGAACACAGATGGTCGACTCCTGATAATTCTTTCATACAGTCCAAGCAAGCATTGCATAGGTGGCGCAGTGATTTGGATGTGCTGCCCTCATTATGATCACGAGCATCATGGCATCTAATCCTGCTTCATTTTCAACTTATGAGCAACGCTCCCGGTTTGCCAAGTATTATCTTTATAAAAATCGGTTTCTTTTCAAGAACGATTCTTCTAAAGACAAGAAGGTCGGGGCACCTGTTATGCTTAATTCATGCTAACATTCCTGTCGTTTAGGAGTGGACGGGGATGTGGCAATCGAGATCCATACTGCAAACATTTGCAGCCCACCTTGATTACACTCGAGGTTGTGTGCCTGTCGAAGCTCCTGGATGCGAAGAGCAACTCAGTCGAATAGCACTTGCACTCTCTGCAGCAGCGGTAAGCTATATGATTTTTTTATTACCCTATTGCACTAATTGTTGTTAGGCTAAGCGCGCCTTACATCTCCTTTCGACCGGAGAGATGAGTTTCGAGGTTACGACTGCAGTTGCGAAAGGCAAGAGAAAGGTCATGCGAAAGAGTGAGGCTCAAGCCTTGAACAATGACTTATTATGGAAAGTTATCATAAGCAACAATGAGGATTTCTCCGAGTCGCTATGGGGGTATGATAGTCGTATGTTTCTGAATGCAATCAACCGCATACCCGCAGAAAATATGCTGGACATTGTGAAGAGCGCAGAACCATTCATGGCAACTGCCACTGGCCACGTAGAGATAAATAGTGTGGAGGATATGGATGAGGAGTACGTCGATCTCTTGGATTTCCGATGAAAGTGAGTACTTGGTCTTTTTTAGTATCGTTTTTATGAGAAGTAACGATCAGCGGAATTCAGACCCGCTAGTCAACTTCGTTGTCCATCACCCTCGGTCACCCTTCCAGCATTCCCTTGTTGCCCACATATAATCTCAGTCGTCCTCTCTCTTTGCCTTTCCGCTATTGTGGCCTTAATTTTCATTTTCATTGTCATGAAATTTTACCTCATCGTGCATCCTACTTAATCTTTACCGGTACCACCCCTGAAATCCATCTTAATCGCTGCAAGCTTTGCATGATACTTCAGTAATATACCAAGAATTGCCGAAGCTGTGCGGGAGAATGAACGTTGAAGACAGACCCGCGCGAGAAGGCGATATTAGATAGGGAGCAGAAGGTGAAAGCTGGCTTGAATGCTGCCGGCTGGTCTCGCAGGTGAGCTTTGGGCTTTGAATCGACATCCTGAGCGATGTATGCCCAGTAGCTCAACTCAGTGATGAGTGCGCATCTCCTGTGCTAGCGAGAAATCGTCAGGAAACGGTGAAACAGCCCATTATTTGACCGCAGTCTAGAAACGTACGTTTCACAGCTTGGTACTTCACTTAAACAATAGCCTATCATTTGACAGATCTATATCCATTTCGTGTTCTCACTCACCATTGCCATTATAAGTCCTGCCATGAAGTCCGCCTCAAACGCAGATGAAAAAGCTCCCTCTCCTCCGCAGTCGCTTCCACCTTATTCCGATGACTTGTTACCTCATTCTCAAACTCTATCAAGTAGCAGCTCGACATTTTAGGCAGCTAGTGCCAGTGGTGATGCACGAGCAAATTCTCGTTGCCTGTAGAGGCCCGACGAGTATAAAATCATATTGTATTCCGAGTTACACGCTAATGCTAGTCAATACATGCCATAATCTTGGGAAGCAGTTGAATCATGCTAGATCCTGTGTCAGAGTCGATCACGAGCTTAGCGTAATATTCTCGAATACTGAGGATCAGCCGTGGTCCCAACACAGCTGACTGTGCAATGGAACGATATTTCAAAAACACCAATAATAAGTCAGGGTTGTTGGAGAATATTGATCCTATGGAAAATGATGAAGCGTGTTGCATGCGGAGGTCAGTGACACATTGCGTACCTTTGCCATCATTGGCCAAACACCACCGAGGGAGAAAGCAGAAAACTACAACGAGCTGGTATGTGAAAGAACTTCAATGGAAACATACTATGTTCGCGTTATCGGCTCACCTTACAAAGTACTCGTGTGAGTTTGCATTAACACCGTGAAACAGCCCTTAATAACACCTCCGCCGAGTGTCGTCCCAATTCACGAAGGTGCTTTAGAGCAATCCGGACTGCAAGACACAGTGTGAAGATCTCCCACACACCGATGAGTAGTATAGGGATGTTGTCCAGATTTTTGGGATTTTCAACAACGCACTGATAGGTGCCAAAGAGAATGACTTGCTCTGGTATTTATCAATGAGCCCGAGGCACTCGTCCCTTCGATCCATAATTGAAACTTACCCGCTGAAATATACCTCATGTTTATTGTGAGCATCACTATATTGGCGATAATGATGGCCGTGAAGACAACAACGAGGAGTACCAGAACCTTTCTAGACCGTTGATACATGGCATATAACCGAGCAATCATAATGACTTCGTATAATGTTTCAGTGGAGTCAAGGTATTGCAACTGCGTAGACTCACCACCAAGTATTGGAATTAGGACCCACATTGTCCAATATAACGCGAAGTACATGTAAAGGCCTGGCACATCCAGTCAGTGAGAAGTCTTAGGATAACCCACTCCAACGAGACTCACAACTGTAGCAACCACTATGATGGATCAGAAAGCTGGCCAGGAATGTTGCTCACCCCTCCATGATAGTGAATTAGTAGACGGATATGGGAGGGATCAGTACGAAATGCTCACTACATCTTTTAGAGGTATTATCTGAACTCCCACTGTATGCAGCTGGTCAGAAGCAACAAACGATACATATGAAGAGACGCACTCTGTATGCTCATACTGATGGTGAGATATGGGCAATCAGCACAACACCGGACATTAGCTCTCCAAACTTGAACACACATGGCATATATTATTCCGACGTAGCGCACCTAGGATATCATCACATCAGCTCAACTTGTTAAGCACACGTATAGCACGAGCTACATACAGCGAGATACAGGACAGTCATCAGGGACCAGTGTTGCTTCTGTCGCAGATTGATGTTATTGTTACGTCGTTCCTTTGGACATGAGGCCTGAGGGCTCTCAGCTCACCCAAATTAATTCAACCTATGAAATTATTTCAGAGAGATGACCGTTCTGGTAATGACATTAACCTACCTCTTGTCCGAATGCAAGTACTGGAGAAGCCATCAGGATATCAATCAATATTTCATGCAATCTTGCTCACTCCAATCGTATATTACGCCAGTCGAGGCAGCAACTACAAAAATGCAGCAAAGGTTAGATCAGCACATCGTCATCAACCGACTGGCTCTCTACTAGTACATACCCATCAAATAGCTGAAAAGGATATGTGAATTGATGAGCGGCCACCAACTGGGATCATTTGAGATTATGGTCATACTACTGTTACTAGAGGATGTGAGCGAGCGAGCGGCGAACTTGGTGGACGGACGTATGGGGATAACATTCGTGCTATAGCAAATATAAGGCACCTACAATTAGCATAACGCCCAGCAAACGCTGACCGGTTCACTGCCCAAGTTACTGCGGAGATTAGTACCATGCGACCATCCCTTGGTTACACTGGGCTGAGTCGTACCACTGCATTAGCACGTGGAACAATATATTGTCGACGGAACGTGGCCGAAACGTTGGTCCAGCGCGTAACTCGAGGAGTCACGGAATCGACAGCAAGTAAGAATATATTTGTGCCTGAGGCCTGAAGGCTGGCCCTCGTTATTCAGGATAGCCGGTCCGGATTGTACATGTTTGTTCTTGATTTGTCGTCGACCTGCCTCAGCCCGGTGTCTCTCTTCGCCCGCAGCCGCCATCGTATCAATTTTACATCGCCATGGCCTTCAGCAGCTTCGTCTTCTGCTTTGCCATTGTCTTCGTCTGTGCCTTCCGTTTCGCTGGTCCCGGTCACTGTGTCGGATCAGGAGCTCTCTACACATCTATGAAATAGCTGAGAATAATATTCGCATTCATGGTTAGCCATTAACTGGCCGCATCATTCGAGATTAGGGTCATACTATTAGGGGATGGGTGTGAGCAACTTGAAGGGAGGGACGTAGCGTAGTATAATGATCGTATAAGTGCCCGAAGTAAGTGTTTCAGCATGAGTTATCAAGTAAAGGGGGAATATGTATCTAGGAATATCGAAATAACAGTTGTTGATGTAACAGTCGGAGAACTGTTAGTGTTGCGGGCAACGTGATGGCATTCCAGGGAGATAGAACTATTTCGAACACGTCCCGTGTTACACACTATTGTTAGTCAATACATGCACACGATCTTGGAAAGCAGCTGAAATCATGCTAGGTCCAGCATCGATGTCGATCACAAGCTTGGCGTGATATTCTCGAACACCGAGGATCAGGCGTGGTCCCAGCACAGCTGACTGCACAATGATGAATATTTCAAGAAAGCCGAAACGAATCAGAATTGTTGGAGAATATGGATCCTATGGAAAATAATGCATCAATGAAGCGTGGTTGCAGAGGTCAGTGACACATTGGCATACCTTTGGCATCGTTGGCGAAAAATAACTGAAGGAGAGGCATAAAACTACGATGAAGCTGTCAAGTGCAGGACTTCAATAAGATAATCACGTTCACGTTATCTGCTCACCTCACAAAGTAACTCATGTGAGTTTTCATTAACACCGTGAAACAGTCCCTGATGACACCTCCCGCCGAGTGCTGTCGCAATTCACGGAAGTGCTTTAGAGCAATCCAGACTGCAAGACACAGTATGAAGACCTCCCACACACCGATGATCATCCAAGGAATGGTGTCCAAATTTTTGGGATTTTCAACAACGCACTGATAGGTGCCAAAGAGAATGACTTGCTCTGGTATTTGTCAATGAGTCCGAGGCACTCGAACCTTCCGATCCATAATTGAAGCTTACCCGCTGAAATATATCTCATGTTGATTGTGAGCATCACTGTGTTGGTGAGATTGATGGCCGTGAAGACAACAACGAGGAGTATCAAGACCTTTCTGGACCGTTGATACATGGCATATAACCGAGCAATCATGATGACTTTGTATGATGTTTCAGTGAAGTTGAGGTATTGCAACTCCGTAGACTCACCACCAAGTATTGGAACTAGGACCCACATCGTCCAATATAGCGCGAAGTACATGTGAAGGCCTGGCACATCCGGTCAGCGATAAGCTTCAGAGGATCACACGCTCCAAAGAAACTCACAACTGTAGCAACAATTATGATGGATCAGAAAGTTGTCAAAGAATGTCGCTTACCCCTATATGATAGTTGATCAGACGGATATGGAAGGAAGGACATCAGTACGGAATGCTCACTGCATCTTTCAGCGGTATTATCTGAACAGTCACTGTATGCGGCTGGTCAGAATCAACAATAATGCGTGTGAAGATGCGCACTCTGTATGTTCATGCTGAGAGATGGGCGATCAGCGTAGTATCAGATTTTAGCTTTCCAAACATACCCAGCATATATTACTCCAACGTAGCGCACCTAGAATATTATCAGCTCAACGCATTAATCACTGCTTATAGCACAAGCTACATACAGCAAGATACATGACAGTCATCAGGGACCAGCGTTGCCTCTGTCGCAGATTGATAGTATCTTACGTTGTTCTTTGGACACTGAGAATCTGCTCACCCAAATCAACTCGACCTATGAAACCGTTCTTAGAGAGACGACGCTTCCGATAATGGCATCAACCTACCTCTTGTCCGAATGCAAGTACTGGAGAACCGTCAGGATATCAATAACTGTTTTACACGATCTTGCTCACCCCAATCGTACATTACCACAACCGAGGCAGCAACTGCAAAAATGTAGTGAAGGTTAGATCAGTATATCACCGTCATCACCAGACTAGCCCTCTACTAGTACGGACCTAAGAAATAGCTGGAAATAATGTGTGAATTGATGAGCGGCCACCAGCTGGGATCATTTGAGATTATGGTCATGGTCTTAGAGGATGTGAGTGAGTGAGCGGCGAACTTGGTAGACGTATGACGATGACATTCGTACCAGATATACCACCTTTTATCATTGCTACGATGACAGGCATAATATCTGTTTATCCTGAAGTAAGGGCTTTTGGCACGATGAGGAG